TTTTTTATATTTAAAGAATTTGCCACTGATGATTCAAACGCGAGTTTTGAGCTAGTGTAGAGTAGCGCTTGTTGTTTGTCATTTCTCCGATCACAAATGCAGACATGGTTTTATGTTTACGTGGCGCGATGCAATGCAACGCGTAAAAAGACAGTATAAGTCATTATAATCCGTAATTATGTCCCCACTGGATGCAACAAATGCCTCGTTTATAATGGGTTTTAATGTTTTTGTCTCGTCGCTCCGGTCGGAACACGGCAACACAGTATAGCAAGGGACATAACATTTCCATCACACGCTTGAGGTATTCGGCCAACCACAACGCACTGGATAGCTGGCCAATCTGAGCACACCTCGCTTTTCAGACCGATGAGCTTTGTAAAAATCGACGCGTTTCAGAAAGGCGAGGCATAGAGGAGAAACAATAATGTACAGTATGTGGAAAATAATGTGTTCTTTGAACCTTAAACCGCATAAACACATTTCATTACACCAAATACGCAAAATAATGTTCTTTTTAGCAACATCATATGACCCCTTTAAAACATTAGTATTGTGAAATATTATTGCAATTTAAAAATAATGGTTTTCTGTAATTTATTCTGTTATTAAATCTGGATTTTCAGCAGCCATTACTGAAGAATCATTTCCCATTATTATCAATGTTAAAAACAGTTGTGCAGCTTAATATTTTTGTGGAAACCATGATATATTTTTTCAGGATTGAGGAATAGAAAGGTCTAAAGAACAGCATTTATTTAAAATCGAATTTTGTAACATTATAAATGCCTTTAATGTCTTTTTTGATCAATATAATGCGTCCTTGCTGAAGAAAAGTATTAATTTCTTAGAACAAAAAATCATACTGATCATACTTTTGATATGAACGATAGTGTATTTATTCAAGTATTTGTGAGGCATAACAATGTTTACAAGCTTTGATTCACAAACAGTGCTAGCATGCTTCTGATGCTGCATGAAATCTAAAATAATCTGTGTGGTAAATTATATATTTCAGTCTCTCAGCGATGAGGACTCATTCAAGAAAATTTCCACTCTAGAGGAAGTTCAAAAGAAAACTGAGGAACTACTCACCAGCCTTACTGAGAGGTGAATACATTTTTTTTTTACAATACCAAAACAACCTGATTGGCATGTTTATAGTTTGTTTCTGTGTTTGAATTTTGTCTAGGATGCACAAAGATGGCAGGCGGCCACACACATTCAGACTAACGATTCGCCAATACACAGTCACCAATCGCTGGTTCAGTCGAGAGAGCCGACAGTGCCCTATACCCAACCACACTGGGCTCAAGATCACATGTGGTACAGTTCTGTTCTTTTGCGTCCTTTAAATGTATAATTCCGTGATATTTACAGTCATCTCACAATTCACTTAAATTGCAATAAACAGCAGTGATATAAATGTGACATCTTCAGATTTTTACTGTTAAAATTTTGGTATTCACATTTTCCTTTTTTATATTAGGAAGCAGTGAGGCTGTGCCCCAGTTACTGGGACTGTCAATGAAGCTATTTCATAAAATGTTGGACACACGTGAGCCGTTCCATCTGACCCTGCTGAATGTGTGTTTTAGTAACCTGCAGGCTAAAAGCTCTAGCAAGAGCTCCATCGCCTCTTTCTTTACACAGAAATGTCCTACAACAACACAAATGACATCTCAACAGCAGGTCAGTATGTATGATTTTCCTTATTTTAGTTATTCATTATGCCTCTCAAGAACATCAATCAGATGTCCCTGCGAATGTAGACCCTTATGTATTCTCACAACTTCCTGCTGATGTGCAAAGGGAGTTACTGACAGAGTGGAGACAGCAGAAACCGGTCCTAAAAATCCCATCCAAACACTCACATAAAACCTCCAGTACCAGAGACAAGAAGAGCGCTGCTAAAGGCAGCCAGTGTAACAACATACTGAAATACTTCAAACCTAACTGAGAACAGAAACACTTGATTGCCTGTTCATAAACCAGAAAAATACTAAAAATACATATGTAAACCATATCGTTGTAAATCAGCCTTTGTAGAGGAATGAAAAATGTAATTCTGTCACCATTTACTCACCTTCATGTCAAATCTGTATGACTTACTTTCTTCCACTGAAGACGAAAAGGGATGCTGGGAAACAAGCTCGTCCTGGTTTGGAACAATTAGGGTGAGTAAATCACGACAGAATGTTCATTTTTCTAAGTTTCACTTTCAGATATGTATTATTTTGTTAATAAACCATATATGTCTTTAAATAATAATGATGTAATTTAAGTCATTGGATACTATAATTATAATAATAGTGTTTATTATAATAATAGTGTTTGTGATATTACAATACACTACATACACTACACTAATGTCTTTGAAAGAAGTCTCTTATTCTACCAAGGCTGCATTTATTTGATCAAAAATACAGTAAAAACTAATATTTGGGAACTTTAAAGACTTAAAAAACTCATCCATTGTAAAATATATATATATATATATATTTTTTTTTTTTTTTTTTTTTTTTTTTGAGAACAGTCTCCTTTTCTGCATTCCTTGTTTTATGAAGCTTTTAGTTTTATTGTTTAATTTTATTTATTTATCTGTACCTTTTAATCTTCAATTCTGGGTAGAAGCCTTAGCCAAAAACAGTGTTTTAAATTTTAAACCATCATTGCAAAAAATTATAAGCTAAATTGTTAGACCTTTATTCTAAAAACAAAAAGTGTACTTCCGGCGCCGATCACTACATTTCTTCACACTCTTCCCGCGCGCAGCTTCCTGCTTCATCTCTCCGCAGCATCTTCCGGCACATCACACCTCTACATTCAGTCTATTATAAGCGCTAACTGACCGCTGCCGTCCAGAATTTTCTCCATTGCACATCGCCGGTTGTCAGGTCGTCTATAAAGATGAAGGGAGCGAAATTGGCTGTGATTTTAAGCGTGTTTTTGGGTTTTGTCCTCCTGACTGAGACAGCGCGAAGCAAGAGAGACTCCAGCAGCCAGAACAGCTTCAGGAGGGCGGCCAGCGGTTTCTACCAAACCCTCAGCAATATCTTCGGAGAGGAGAACATCAGGGGGCTGTACAAGGTCCATATAAGATCATGCGATTTTCTCATGCAGTTTAAGAATTTCGTTTTGTTTGCAGATGCATATGCTTAGGGCCTGAAGAGATCACCAGCCTGTGATCTCTTGTGATCAGTGACTGTGTCTCAAAACCATAGACTGTAGCTCAAAACCTAGTGAGCTGCCTACCTAGAGCGCATAGCCGCATTCTGCATACGGGCATCTTTCTGTTTAACTTGGTCAAAACGTTCTGGATCGCGTCAGTGTTGTGATATTGTCAGATGGACCAGCTGATGTGCCACATTTTAGACTTGTTTATGTTTAATCGGTAACGCTTTATAATAACTTTAGTGAATACGTGTTTTTTTCCAATAATATTTAATAATTAAAATTTGATTTTAATAATAAATAAATTATTAGTCTATTAATGGTATGCATTAAATGGCCTTAAAAACTATTTTAACAAAATATTTGCATTTCCATTATTTACGTTATTTTAATATAAAATATATAAGAGAGTTTTGCTAACTGTTTAAATGTACATGAATAAGCTTTTGTACTGTACTGTATAGTGCTATTACATTTTGAGAACATTTTTATTTTTAATTAATTAATTTAATTTAATAAATTTTTAGCCTATTTTTGCCATAATGGAAAAGATATCATTACTGTAAGGCAAATTAATATTGTTGTTATTATTAAAACTGTTGTTTAACTTTGTGCTATAATAATATTTTTAATGTAATAAAATGAATTATTACTGAGAATAATAATAAAAAACACATAATAATGAGAAATGGGAAGAGGGCTATGCTTAATTGTCATGAAAATTATGTCACAATGCAAAGTAATCTATAATAATCTAAATCTGTTCTAATTTATATAGATACATTATATAGATATACAGAAACATATTTTTAAAAACAGTAGGGTTATTTTCTGTTTGTAGTTTGCATATAGCTTTTTTGCAGTCTTCATTTATAAAAAAAAAAACTTGTTAATGTTTTGCAGTTCTTCTCAAAAACTACAGAGAGGTTTGTTTATGGAGTCGATTCATTATTGGACACCTTGTGGAAACTGTGGGTGGATCTGCTTGATGTTATGGGCATTGACTGTAAGTCTGGATCAAAATTGTTGCGTTTATGTGTGTCAATGACTGAAATAGCACATCTCCACTGTTTGTATGTGAGGCCAAAAATCATGTCCTTAAAACCTCCTTCATGTCTCTCCCTACTCTCTCTCTGCTTCTATTTCTGTCTGTCTGTGTTTTCTTTTCCCCCTCCGGTTCTCTCTCTCTCTCTCCTTAGCCTCTAACCTGACGCACTACTTCAGCCCATCGTCCGTGTCCAGCTCTCCTGCTCGTGCTCTCCTCCTGGTGGCAGCCTTGCTGGTGGCTTACTGGTTCCTGTCCGTGTTCATGAGCGGTTTCTTTTACATCCTCCAAGTGATGTTCGGCCGTTTCTTCTGGCTGGCCCGCGTGGCCCTTTTCGCCCTCTCGTGCCTGTATATTCTGCAGAAATTCGAGGGTGACCCTGAGAAAGCGGTGCTGCCGCTGTGCTCCATCATGGCTGTGTACTTCATGACGGGACCAGTGGGAGCATACTGGCGGAAAGGGGGTGGACCTGGAACTCTGGAGGAGAAGATCGACCACCTCGATACCCAGATCCGCCTTCTAAACATCCGCTTGAGCAGAGTGATTGAAAACCTAGAGAGCTCAAGTGACCAATGAAATGATTTTTTTCGCCCCAGGCTGAGGGTGAGAGCTGGGTTTTGTGGGATGGGATGAGAAGAAAATTTTTTTTTTGTTGTTGTGCTCCTTTTTTTCCTCGGGATGTCCCAACATTTTAGTGAGGCACGAATTGTATGTGACGTATGGAAATTTGATAAATTCCCCAGTTGATATGCTGAAAAAGAGTCTATTAGATTCCCCCTGTTGTCGTAGAATTATTAGTGTCCACTTCTACTGTAGCCACCCATTTTTGAGTAAATATGGACTTTTTTGTATACTGTGTGTCTGCAAGCCTTGAGTTGAGTGTGTTAGTCCATTTCACACAGTGTTACGCCCTTTTCCATAAGCTGTGTTAGGACACTTTCTATAAGTGTGTTATTTATCAGTCAAAGGCAATGCAATTGAGTTGATTCAGAAACACTCAAAGTGTGAAGAATAGTCGGTATCACTGCATTTTTCATCTCTACCATGTGTCTTGAGGTCACCAGAGGTTACTCTGAGTTCAGGACCGGTCGCACACTATCAGGGATTGAGATGTATGTGGAAATCGCTTTCAGAAAGCAGCTAGTCATCAGAAGCGTGAGGATATGTGACCAGTGTTCCTGGCAGCAAAATAACAGTGCTGCAATGTACACCGCTATCTCTGTCCAACTCCAGCTGGAAAAACCTGGTCATGCAACTTTGCTCTCAGCATGAGATCATTGTATGTACCATTTTAATACACTTATCGAAAGGGATTAATTAAATAGCTTTTAGTACCACTGCGTATTAGTGCTGCTTAGTAAAATCTAGTAAACTTTTTAAGAAAGTGGCCTATGGTTTCATCCTCAGTGGCATTTTGTCTTATTAGAAATGCCTCCTAACTAATCTAGCCTGTGTCCCATCTTCTCTGCTTGTTGTCATTCACTCTTACTATTTTTTTTTTTTCTTTTTGCAGCTTTAACATTCATTCCACTTTTTGGTTTTGAATTCATCATGTTTTTGCAACCTGGGTAGCCAAAACTAATTTGTATGGTTTTTAAAATATATTTCAGACATTTACTCCCTGCTTCATAGATTTTTTAAAATACTGTAATTTAAAATTTTTATAAGTTTTTACATTTTGAGAGAAATATTACGAATGGGCAGTGTTAAAGTATATTTTCATTCCATAATATGCCATACTTTTTTTTTTTTTTTAATGATTTTTCATGATTAGTGCTATTTACTACTGTTGAAAAGTTTGGAGTCCGTAATATTTTTTTATTTTAAGGAAATCAATATGTTTATTTACCAAAGATGTATTAAATTAGGTTTTAAGTGATATTAAGCTTGCTGTTCATTATTGAATCCTGAAAAATGTGTTACGGTTTTCACAAAAATATTAAGCAGCACAACTGTTTTGAACTTTGATTATAATAAGAAATGTTGTTTGAGCACCAAATCAGAATATATGAATGATTTCGAAAAGATCACGTGACACTCAGCCATCACGTGAATAAATTACATTTTAAAATATATTAAAATAGAACTTTTGAATGGTAGTGTACATTGGAAGTATTTTTTTTTTAATCGGGAGTATTTAACGTATTTGTTTTGCATCGTATCGTAAAAGGTTGTGTTTATTGTGAAAACAGTGTGTTATGGATATGTTTGTTTCTTCATTTCTGCTACTAAATTATAAAATGATGTGTGTCTCCAGCCAGTTATTTGAAAGACGTCATTAATTCAAAGTGGCAGTTTATTCCCTGTGTCAGTGTTGATGCCATTCTATACTCTTTTTAGACCTTGATGAAATTCATGTTCAAAATTCAATGTTCAAAATTTACAGTTGTTCTATTCAAGCCAAAAATATTGACGACGACATCCTGCACTTCACTGATTTTAGTCCAGAAACTTTCCCTCATCCTTCCACCAATCACGGTTCAATTCTGTGACGTACTGTAACTCAAGCCTACCGGAAAGCAGTGTCGAGCACTAATATCAAGAAGGTCCTTTTTTACTGTATGAATGTGTGAAGGAAATCAGACAATATAAGCACCAGCCTCGAGGTATCTCCGAATAGCAAACTCTTGTGTACTTGCAATGTACCAGCATTATTGTACAAGTACTGGGGACAACTACACGTAAACCCTACATGTCTCAGCAAACACTTCTAAATTGTCTTGTCTACTTCCATATCTGTAATGAGTGAGAATCCACAGTAATATACTGTGGAAAAAGCTCTGTGTCTTATGAGTTTTATCATTAGCTGTGGTTTCAAGTGTACATCATGCTGAGTGAATGTGCTGAGTTTGCTTGTAGAAATATGTCTGACAGATATGTCCTTCTTGTAAGTCCTTCATTTTGTGGAATATTATGTATTTTATTAATATATCTGATGTCACATCTCTCATAGATCCCAGTTGACTGTGCCAGTGCCAATCATTGTGTGTTGAGGACTTTGCGTCGTTGACTGATTTGTATTAGAAAGCACTGAATCTCTGTGAAGTCGAGACCTTAACTGGTATTTTTTGCGTAGTAAATGCCTAGATTTCTATATCAGGTTTGCATTTGTACTGTATACTTTTCATCAGGTTTGTTCACCTGCATTGTTGCTTGCTGTGGTATTATTTGCACTGTCTGTAACATATTTTTGTCTTTATAAAACTTGTTCAGTAATTTTCTCTAAGATGAAACAGTGGTCCAAAAATGATTTAATAAACGTAATATACAATTTGACCAACAGGTCTTGGATGTTTTTATTTATTTTTTGATTACAGATATATTGAGAGCTCAGCCTGACTCACATTAATAGTATCGTAGTTTATATTTGCTCTTTTTTTTTTTTTTTTTTTTAAGTTTTTGAAATTCTTTCCCCTCATATTTTGGACATAGGAGGGTGTACAT